GGTGTTGAACTACCAAACAACATAGAGAAGGCAAGGAGAATGAGAAGAGAAAATAACTAGATTTGGCAACAAGGAAATGACTTTATGAGAAGTATCCGTATAATGAATGTGGGTAATGTTTCATCTTTGCAAGGTGCAAAGAAGTGGGTGATAAGAAAATGAAAGCAATGAGCATAGACTACTCTTTCAAGAAATTTGACCAGGAAAGGAGGAAAAGAGACAGGACTATGAGATGAGGAAGAGCAAAAATTGAAGGTGAAGTTTTTTTTTTTGACTGGGGAGAACTGAGAATGTTTGCAAGCAAAAAGAAAGAAGCCATTTAATGGGAGAGAGTGAAGACTCAAAGGAGAGGGTATGATTGATGGGAAAAGGCCCTGAATGAGATTACAAGGAATAGGATCAAAAGCAAAGACAGAGCAGAATATCTTGTGAAAGATTAATAAATTTCTTACTCTGAAATATGAGAGAAAAGATGAGGAAATATGAAATATGAGGAAAAGATGGTTGAGAGTTTAGAAAAATTGTATGGCATTGATAAGGGAAATGGAGTTTATGTTAGATAGCTTTGGGAAATTTTTTTGTTTTGATGGTCTGGTGTGTTGTTTTTTGTTTTTGTTTTTTCAGTAAAGCAAGAAATGAAACCAACTGTAGAGAGTCAATAGGAAAGGAATAGTGTTGGAGGACTGAAGGAAGTAGATTTGGGAAAACACCACAGGAAATTTGCTATGGAGTCAACAAACCATATAGATCCATAAGGCTCAGATGAGGTTAGATAGCATATGTAATATATTTTAAGTTATTAAATTTCAAACATATTGATATAAATGTTGATAACCAATATAAAAATTTGTATGCCTGGAATATTTTAAACCTACCTAAAAAGTTGCAAGACAACAAAGAAGTACTTGAACTTTTCTTTTTTAAAAAATCTCCTTTCGTGAAAAATATGCATATGTAATACACATATACACACATACATGACTTAGAGTAAGGTAGTATTATTTTGCTTTCTTGCAAAACATATTAGGTATGGTTGCAACTCACATTACAAAAATTCAGGATAATATGTCTACATAAGGCAACTCTGCCAAATCAGAACTGATTCTTCTAATTTAATCCAATCAGTACACAGGTATTTAACTTTTCAAAAACTAATAACAAATGCCACCAATCCAAGTGCAAAGTGAGATAAAACTTATTGATCAAAGAGAGAAACTAGACTGCAAGACAGATTACCTTCCTATTTCTATCACAAACCACCATATTCACAAGGAGAACCAATTACATTTTTAATTTTGATGGAATATGGTAACCCTAACTAGACACAAAGTCAAGACAAACTTAATAAAACCTTTATTGATGACATAAGCCATTTAGGTACAAACACTTGTTGGTTCATTGATTAAATTCTATAGACTTTATTTAGCATATGTGAACACTGCGATATTAAATTTTTATTTTCATCACCACAGGCAAATCACTTAAGACATCAGTGAATAAAGGACACATCAGAGAATGGAGAAAAGATATTGTCAAATACCATAGATGATTCTACTTTCAAATTTCCAGTTACATAAGTTGTTTTAACTATTTGAAGGGAGTAAGAGATACAGTAGAAAAACATAAGCCTCTTATAGCATTTTATTCATACTTTCCCTTCAAAAAATAATAATTGGAAATTTTTCAGGAAAAGTAGTTTTGGAAAAAATGTAGCACTTTTTGCTTTCTTCCTCTATTCATGTCAGCCTTACTATTTCTACTAAAATTATAACTGACCCACAAGAGACTGAGCCAAATCCTGACTAGTTTAGCTCTCTGGCTCAGGGCTAATTACATTTTATAAATTTCATTTGTTCAAACAAAACACTTAATATTATTTCAACCCAATGCTTTCCATGTGTGTTATTCACAAACAGGATAAAATGAAAACAAAATCTGGTCAGGGAAATCTGGAAGATGGAAGATGGTGTTCTTCTGAAAAAGCGAAACAAAACTGTTCAACATTTATCTAATTGATCCAACGATCTCTTTGGAAGCTTCATAACTATTATAATCTGCCAAGGAAGTCTCAACTGAGGCTCTTTCTACCAAGTAGATGCTACTGCTAATTTACTGATGTCTTGGGACTAGGATCCCTGAAGGTATTGTGACTAAAATCATCTAATGTTATTACATCACTAGCATTGCAGAGGTTGTCATAATACTTGATAATATATATCGTACAGGTTTTCACTGGAAACTTTTAAAGGGTAGTATTGATGACTGGGGCAGCTAACTGGAGCAGTGGATAGAACTTGAGGTCTGGAGTCAGGGAGATTCATCTTCCTGAATTCAAATCTGGCTTCAGACACTTAACTGTGTGACTTTGGGCAAGTCATTTAACCCTGTTTTACCCCAGTTCTTCATCTATAAAATGAGTTGGAGAAGGAAATGACAAATCATTCCAGTATCTTTGCCAAGAAAACTCCAAACGAGGTCACAAAGAGCCAGACATGACTGAAAATGATTGAACAACATGGATGACTTTGTCAGAGAAGTCACAGAAGGCATTTTTGCTCATGTATGGATTTGGACTAACCAGCCTCTAAGATTCTGGGAAACTACAGATACATGCTTATCCTGCCCAAGGAATGTGATATCCTCATTTCTTTTGGTAACTCATTCAAACGGATATTAACCTTTACCATCAAAAAGTTCTTTGAGTACTGGATGTAGAGTCAAGAAGACTGAATCCGAATCCTGTCTCAGACACTTAATAATTTGGTAATCCCGCGTAAGTCATTTAACCTCTTAGCCTCAGTTTCCTTATCTGTAAATGAGGATAATAACAGCACCTAATTCAAAGAGCTGATGTAAGTAAGTATCAAATGAGGTAACATATGTAAAGTACTTTGCAAATCTTAAAGGTATCATATAAATACTACCTATCATGATTGGAAAAAGCAACAAAGTTGAGTGAATGGCAATGCTGTAACATCAAAGCAAACTGTGATGAAGTACTTAGCATGTTTCTCTTTTTGTTTTGTCATAAGGGATTCTGTGACTTTTTAAAATGCATACTTTTTTTCCCCAGGCAAACCTGTCAGAATGGCTGCTAAAACTGTAAATGACAATCATCAGATGAAAAGAATCAGAAGGAAAAGGGGGAAATTGCACAGAGAAAAAAGGGAGAAATCAGAAATGACTGGAATGAGAGAAAAACCTAGGTCTTATGTTTCTAGAAGAAATGCTGTCTTTTTTTTCAAGTAGCTTCTTCACTCCCCGGCAAAGTAAAGGGACAGAAATGAGCAAATGCAGGGGTCAAGCCGAGAAAAGCATCTAGGTATCTTCCTAACAAGTCAGAGAATGATTATTTCTAATGAGAAATAAACTAAAAGATAAGCTATGAAGGAAAAATTAGTAATTCAGGTAAAATTAGGTAGATTTCAAGAGAGAAGGTACTCAACAAGACTACTACTGATTTTCAAGGGGTAAAAGACTCAGATTCGGCACAGCTAGAAGTCAGTTAAGAAATGATAACCTATTATTAAAGATATTCCTTTGTATCATAAGTCAATCTGAAAAACCTCATTATTTAACCACTGGTGTGCGACTGTTGCATAAGTTTAACTGTAAAGAGAGATATCTGTCCATCCCTCCTTTCCACCCACAGTCATCTGAGCCTCCCTTCTAAGATTATCTTCATTCTTTGTAGCTTTTGTGAGTGGGATTTTTTTTTTTACATTCTGTCTCCCCCATTAGAATATAAGTGCCTTGAGGACAGAGACTGTTTTTGCTTCTTCTTTGTATCATCTAAGCTTAGCACAGTGTTTGTCACATAGCAAATGCTTTAAAAAAGCTTGTTGACTGATAAAAAGTGACACTTTCTGATCTCAGCAGCTGAACCTTACCAATTGGCCCACACAGCCATGACTCGGGCAAGTCACTTAAACCATCTGGGCTTCAGTTTCCCCATGTGGAAAAAAGGGCTCTATTACAGTTCTAGATCTATGATTTGTCTATTGTCCCTTTCTGACAAACTATGAAAATTGCAAATATTATTGCTAAAAGAAGCAAATTAAATAAACCCTTAGATAAGGAAAGTACAAGACTGATGCCCCAGAGGGAACAGCTTTATTAAACCAACACTGTAAATGACAACCAGAAGTCCCCTATATGCCCAGAAGCTAAAAGAATTTCCATAGGGTCTAAGACAAAGCATAAAATGACCCGGAACAAAATTTAACCGTTTTTGATGTTCTCATTTCCTTATACTGAGTGTGTATGAGAGTTTATTTGGGGATGGATTTTAAGCATACATGAGTTTTGATATAAAGCTCTGTATTCTTAGACAAGTCATGTAAGTAGGAGCCTTGGAAGCAAGTTAGTGAGGAAGTGGTTTGATAAGTATGGCTGGGCAACTGAAAATACACACAAGCTTGTTTTTATGTAAACCTATATTTACCTACTAAGTACTTATTGAGCAATATAGGCAAGGCAAAAACAAAAGGTATCAATAAAAATATATTTTTAAATATGCTTATTAAGTCACTAACTTGGAGTCCAGCACTTTGTTGTCACACAAATAAGCAGAGTTATTACCATTACTTCTAATATGTGTTACAAGTGTGATCCAGATTAAAAGACTTTTTTCAGTACTGGAGCTCTTCATTATCAATCTAAATTGGTTTTGAATTGGTAAACGGAAGCTTTTAATATTCTGGTGGTCTGAGTCCTCTGCACTCTCCTCTTAGAAAGAATGACATATCTGAGGTACTCACTTATGCACACAGATGCTGAGTTTGTCATATCAGTGTGTTGCCATGGAGAAAGCTGCAAATCGGCATCCAGGAGGACCACAAGGTTATAAATGACTAAATAAACACCTGCCCATTTGGTAGACACATTAAGTTACTGCATCACTTAAAAGTTATTAGTCATCGATACATTATACAAAGAGGGTGGGATGACGTTAATGCCACTGTAGCAATGACAAGCAGGCTAATTACTATTACACACACCAAATGCGATGGAGGCTCAGCAGAGTAGGGAGGGGGTGGCGTCTCCACAGCTATTTCGGGATCCTCATGTTCACTTTCACTGTAGCATTCTGCAATGAAAATGGAAGTGTTCAATTGTTTTGAGGGGGGGGGTTATAAATCACCACTGCTTATTCCATAAAGCATCAGCTAAGATATTTTTCTGGCCATTTTTCTTGCAAAGGTCAACACACACCAAATTCATTTCTCTTGCATAAAATGTCATGCCTAGGGATCTGCCTACAAAAATGGAGTGAGTGGGCTGGTTTCATTGTGTTGGGTTTCTTTAAATGGTTTTAAGATCAGGTAAGAACAAGTCTTTCAGATCCTCTTAATTTCACTTGAAATGCAAAGAAGACCACAAGCAGAAAACTCTTCTTGCCATCTGTCCACCCTGTAGGATAGATTCTATAAGCTATTGTATAAAGTAAGGCAGAGGGGAGACAGAATTCCCTCTCCAAAGTTAATTTTCCTGGTCTCTATCACCAGCCTCGCTATTGGGAAGCCTGAAATTGCCAAGATGGTGATAAGAGAAAACAGTTCATAGTGACAGCCCGGGTGGAGTAGTACTCTGGCCCAGCACTCCTGCTCTCCCAGCAGGAAGACTGTCACAAATGCCCAGTTGATGACCACAGCTAACCATCAAGCCAATCAATTTGTGAGTTTTTTGGTTGGCTGCACCATCCTTTTATGCCCTTTCCCCATCTCCACTTTGCCTTTGGCCTGTATGAAATAACAGCATGTATTTGTTTTCTCTCAGCTACAATATACCACTGCTGTCCAAGGGATGGTGCTACACACAGTTTGAGTGCTCAGGGGGCCCCAAGGGTCCTGGGTGACTTGAGGAAGGATTGTGGTTTTAGGAACATATTGAAAAGGTACAATTGTATGCAGTTCATAGACATTATTGAGTGATCATTAATGTTTATCCCTGTATGAAGTATTCTACAATTCTCTTGGCAGATCTGTATTTATCTTGAGTTATACTTGACATAAAAATCCTTTGGGGGTTTTTTTAATACTATGTGTGTATTTTGGAAAACTTTGTAGATGCTAAATTCTCTGAAGGGTTACAAATATTTCTCATAATACTGAACTCATTATCTAATTCTCCAGAAACTCTTTCTAATTTTTGTCTGTATATATTTGAGGGCCTTTAAAAAAGGGGGTTGGGGAAGGAAGAAGAAGAAAAAAGATCAGGTAAGAATAGGCAGCTGCAGCAAATGGGTCTGGAGAGGGAGAATCTTTCCATTTCTAGGTTGGAGATTCTATCCTTTGTGTTTAAAAGTTTAAATTTTGTTCTTGGCTCCTTCTAGTGCAGGGCTGCTTAAAATTCTTTGTGTCATGAACCCCTTTGGGAGTCAGGTGAAGCCTGCAGACCCCTTTTTAGAATAATATTGTAAATGCATAAAATAAAATATATATTACAAAAAAATCAATCACATGAAAATATAGCTAGGAAAAAAATTTTAATAGTTTCACAGACCCCAGGTCAAGAACTAAAATGCAGTGATTATTTGGAAAGGACTAGAGACTCTTAAGTCTTTTGAAATATGAAAGTTCTAGGTAGACCCATGCAATGTGACTTCCTACCAGCACCATTTCAGGTCCTGGCATCCCTTTATTAGCCCATTCTTTCAGGAATTAGCAGCATACCCACCTAGCACATATGCTAAAATACAACAGAGGAAACCGTAGGATGGAATGTTGTCGGGCTGAGAGCATGACTAGATCAGCAAAAGGGGTGTCTGTCTGAGTCTGAGCTGTCATAACTACAGAAGCAGGGAAATAAAACATTTATACTGGCAATTACTTTCAGTGCCAGTGAAACTAATAGTTACTATGTGGGTGAAGTAAGGGTAACAACATACTTATAGACAATATAAACTGGTACAGTACATTCATCTATCTGCTCCTTTCCTTTCCCTCTTCATCTCTATTCCTCCCTCTTTCCCCTCTTCCTTTGGTTCTTCCTCTTTCCTTCTCTTTCTCTCTAATTTTAAGGAAGGTCAAATTCAAATGTGATACGCACATTTCACTTGCATCAGGCCCATTCTATTTCCATCACCTAATCACCTCCCACTATAAATACCCATAGGTTTAAAATAAAGCATACCTTCTTCTTTTCCTGTGGATGCAAGACGGATTACAGCTAACCCAAGCTTATTTAACCACCTAAAATTCAAAATAGAAAGCAAAAATTTGTTAAGACAAACTTTAATGGTCATAGAGAAGCCCGATGCCCCCACACCAAATTGGCACCCCAGCTTCAAACCCCCTCACTGGGTCTTCTTCCCCAAACATCTGCAGCAAGAGATTACTTCAGTTCTGGTGCTAAAGTGAATCCCAATTTCTACCCAATATCTGTATGGGAATAGCAAAAGGCAATAATTTGAGAGGATTTTTTTTCCTGGTAGTATATTGATGTAGATATACAACCTTCATATAACCCTACAAAATGGGAGCCTAAAGCATTCTCATAACTTTTGCATTCAGGCCATCCTTGATTGTGAACAACAGCTGGCCAATTGGTTCAGAGCAGCAATGAGGTTGCACAGCTTTCTAGGGGAAAGACCTAAAGTGCTAAGACCAAACATAACTTCTTTTAAAAATGTCCATTCCAATAATTCATCATCGCCTCAAATTCTAAATACCTGACTCAACTGATCATCAAAGTTACATCTCCTTGACTTCAACTGACTAGATAGTTCTCTTTGGGAAGACTTGGGGTGTACATAATACTTTTAAGATATTTCCACATTTAATTACTAAATTGCTAAAATCTGACTATGACTTAATTTACGGTATCCCTTAATTTATGAAAGATACAGTTTTTGAAAAGTTAAATAAAATGCAAACATTTGAAGATCCTGTTTTCCATTTACTTTGTTTTAAGTAGAGATGTGTTCCTATGAGGAAACATTCCCTCAGTGCCTCATTTTCAAAATTTCAGCTAGAAACAAAATGACATTATTCTTAGAGTAGATGACCTAGATTAAGACCTCAGTCCTGTCCCTTACTACCTGTACGAGGCCTCGGGAAAGTCATTTAACTTCTCCACATCATGGTTTTCAGGTCAATAAGAGGAAAAGATGAGAATACATCATCTCAGAATTTTCTTCAAGCTCTAAAATCTAAGATTCTATGATAATGCTAGACATGGTCAAACTCAATTAGGATTATGCTTATTAACATTCCAGCACCATGTTACACTGAGGCATATCAAAATGTCTGGAAGAAAGGAAGGAAAAGGAAGGAAGGAATGAACGAATGAAGAAATAAAAAGAGAGACAGAAACCAAAGGAAAGAAAGAGAAAAGAAACCAAGAGTTTCCCTAGCATGGCAAATAATCTCTATCTTCCACATCTTATTTTTAGCCAACTCTGAATCATGCCAGCAGTAGGATAAAGGTAACCATAGTGGTTTCCATAGAACTACCACCTCAACGATCAAGCAATCAACAAGCATTTAAGAACTTGCCATGAACCATGTAGTAGGAGCTATGAGGTACAAATACAACAAATGAAACAGTACCCACTTGCACAAAGTTTATACTCTAATGAGAGAAATCACTCTGATGGACATTTGAAGAGAAAAGTGATGCCAGCCCCAACATGATGACATGAGAACCTGATCGCTGTCTGCTCAGGAGTGATAAGGTAACATGGAATTAGTCTATTTAGAAACTTCATAATGGCATCTGAGTTTGCTGATAATGTGAGGGTCTTGTTTTGTTTCGTCCCATATGGATCAAGCAATAAAAAGTTGAAATGGTAAAAAAAAAAAAAAGAATCTCAAGTTGTGAGACAAGTTCATGGAAATAAGGAAGGGGTTTCCCAGTTCATAAAAGCATAGTAATTTACCAGAGCTTCAGCAGAAAAAAAAATAACCACCACCACCACCATACATCTATTAGTCCTCATCCATCGATGTTATTGTTGTTTACTCATTTTCAGTCGTGTCTAATGCTTCGTAACCCCATTTGGGTTTTGGCGGGGGGGGGAGGGTGGTTGTTGTTGTTGTTGTTGTTGTTGTTGTTGTTGTTGTTGTTGTTGTTCTTGGCAAAGATACTGGACTGGTTTGCCATTTTCTTCTCCAACTCATTTTACAGATTTACAGGGTCACATAGCTAATAAATATCTGAGGTTCAATTTGAACTCGTGTCTTTCTGACTCCACGTCTGGTGTTCTATCCACTGCACTATCGTCAATAAAGAGAAAGGGTATATCACAGCCTCAATCACCAATGTATACAAAACAGTAACCAATTATGAGAAAATGGCTTTTGATTAAGATCTTTTATTTGACTACTGAGTTCTAGAACTCACTGACTTAGATCATTCCCTTCACCAAGAATTTTCTAAAATATTAAGGCTCTAAGAAAGCATCCGTTTGTGGTTGAATGGATGGTTACACAAAAGGATACACAGCCATGGAGAGAGAAGATGACAGATGTTTCCTGGGTGTTTGTTGTACATTCTTTTGATGTGAATGTGTGTGCTAGCATAGCACGCGTGTTGAGACATCAATGCACAAAATCCAGGCATTCTCATTTCAGACACTCTGGCAGAAAAGCCTGCTTCTCTACCCCCAGACTGAATTTAGAAACTGATTCTTCCTATTGCAGTTACTTCCCCAAGTATTTTTAAATTGAGGATAACTGCAAAGCAAGAGGGTTTTCTATTAACCTTAAGTATTTTTCCCTCTGGCCTCTAGGATAGATATGCAGCTACTCAAACAAAGCCGTTTCCCATGGAGACAAAGCTCTAAAAATGGAAATGACATCTAAAAGTGGTCTCTCTTTCTTGTTAAGTGTATCTGTTCTGATTTTGAGAAATATTTACATTATTTCTTCTGCATCAATACTTCAAAAAAGCAGTGACTTTGTCAATATGGTTATCCACTCCACTGTTACAAATCACAAATCCTCTGTGACCTGGTAAACCTTGATAACAGTGGGAGCTGAAAAGATTCATCATTGCACGCATGGCAAATCTAGCGATGAGTTGCTGGGTGCTTAGCTAAGGTACATGTCAGAAAACACTATTGTCAATGGATCAGTTACAAAACCTTTGAGCTCAGGTGCTACCTTCTAAGTGTAAGCTTCATTTGCCTAGCGCACCAGAAGCCAAAATCAACTCTGCATCCTGATGCTACACACTCTGATGAGGCCCTGGAGAACTTTAGCGAAGGGTTTATCAACCGGTTAAAAATCAGAGCGCTACAAAAGTGAGCTAGATTCTCTGTCATCTCAGAATTACCACTGAATCAATCACTTACTAAATATCACAGACAAAATAGTAGAAGAGGTATAAGAGGATCTTAAATAATTCTATATGGACTAGGTAGGCTTGTGATCTCAGGCTGCTTTATTTCTTTATGGCCTTCCTAGAGTTTAAAAAAAAATGCCTCGATCAGGCTACTCAGAGTGAAAGCACGCATGCCCCACAGTGACCTTCAGTGCTACCTTTCTGACTTTTGTAAATAAATATAAACTAGAATGGTATTTTGACATGACAGTGAAAAGAGGTTTATAACTTGGTTCTGACGTCTGGGTGTCTTAATGTGGCAGCTGTGTTGTTGGGGTTTGGGAGGGGGTTCCCCTTTGCCATCTCAACAATATTTATGATACGGTTATACAAGACTCAGCAAGATTAGTCTCCCACTGAAAGCAGGTGCCAAGCAGTGTATGAACCTGATTGTGAATCAGTGTCTTCAGACATGACAAAGTTAAATGTGCCTTTATCTGCACATGACAACTGCTCTGTATTATATGCTGAAAAAAAACCCTACAAAATAGAGACCTACAGCTTCAGGTACATTACTCTTTTTCTGTTCTATGTACATCAAAATGTCCATTTTATTTGAAGTTTGTTAAGCTTAGAGTAAAAATAAGTTGGGGGGAAAAAGAAAGAAAACCAGTTGTTGCTAGAGACTACAGTGCTGGAGCCAAACATTAAATCCTTCGTTCATAACAAGCAGATGTTGGGTGTTTTTTTAATCATTAAAACGTGCTTGCTTCTTCATATTTTTTAATTTGGTAAACATGAGGAAATGCAACATTTTTCTACAAAGTAATTAATTTGCATTCCTTTAGTAATTCTTTTTTAATCTGGTAAATGTGAAGGAATGCAGCATTTTTCTTTGCTTTGGAACAAATACATTATGGGTGAAATATGATCATTCTTTTCAAATGGCACATATAATTTCCACGGGCCACAATAGTCTTTGATCTAATGGGGTCTCCTTGGGGCACTTTTGCTCTTTTAATGAATAAACATCCCTTCCTTCTGATCTTGCTAAAGCATTGCCAGGGATTTGTTTATCTGATTGGCTAACTGACACCCATTGTCACAAGGAAAAGAGATTTCTTGAAGGAATAAGACAGTACAGGTCAATTTGAAAGTGGGGAAAATGAAGTTGGGGATGTGGAGCTTTGTCTAGCAGATGAAAATAATCACTAATGCATGCAAAATGCTTTATTGTTCCCAGATCTTTTACAGACATTATCTCAGGGGAGCTCAAAACAACCCTATGAGAGAAGAAGAGCAGTTATTATTATTCTAATATGGCCAATGTGGTCAAGTGGGAGGCATCATGGGGAGATTATGGACATTGAGAATCATAGCTAGTGTGACAGGGAACCAAAGGTAAAATTCATCAATTTCATCACTTTGTCTAGGGCTGGCCCTCACTATTTACAGAATACCTTCTACCTTCGAATGCACAGAATATGTTCCTTACACAGAAGAATCTAACCAACGGTACTTAAGATTTCTTTCACAAATTAAAAGCACTTTAACATTCAAGCCTTCTTCATGACTCCTGCTTTTACTTTGCTTAGTAGAAAAGAAATAAAATCAAGCCCCCTTCAACTGGCGAACAAATTGTGGTACCTCAATCTAATGGAATACCACTAACTGAATGAGAAATATAAATAATTCAGAGAAATGAGATGTATAAACTGCTTCAGAAGTTAAAAAAAAACTCAAGAAACAATAGGCACAATGGCTACAATGTAAACAGTAAAAGCAGGTTTTTTAAGAACTGAATGCTCTGTAATTATAATCACCAAGCTTGAACACAGAAAAGAATTGGTAAATGCACTTCCCTCCTTCCACTGCAGAAGTGGGAGAATACGGGCGTGGAAGGATCAATTTACTGTCAATGAGTTGGTCAGTTTCATTGAATTGTTTTTAATTTTAGATTTTTTTTTCTTGTTTTAGTCTTTGTTGCAAGGTAAGACTTTAGTAGGCAAAGAGAGGAAGAATTTATTGGAAATGATGTGATATAAAAACAGAAACATCCATAAATTTGTTTAATAATAGTAATAACTGTCCTAATTGTTTAAAAATTTCTGTGCTTTGGTTTCAGCCTAAATTAATAGCATTGATTTATCATTTTTTCAGAGCATTGCATACTTACTAAACAAAGTTAAAAAAAAAAACAGAAGCCCTGGGTGGGACCATTCTTTATCCTATATTAGGCAAGATCATAAAATCAATCACTGATTTGGATGAGAAAGAAACCTTATAGCTCATGGTCCAACCACACCCCCTCCTTTTCTAGACAAAGAAAATTGATTCTCAAAGAGGTTTAAAGTACTTATCCAAGGTCAAAAGGTAGTAAGTAGCCAAGTTGGGCTTTATCCTGGCTATCTCATCCCTTGCTTTGTTCCTTGTAGAACTGGGAACCCACATCCTTTTTGTGCTAAGGAGCCATGCTGCTCTTCACCTGAACAGTGTTGATCCATCCATTACTGGTGAGGGAGGTAGCAATCCAAAAGTGTGTGACCTGGGCTCAGTGCTGGCAAGCCAGAGGATATGAGCCAAGTCTTTCCTACTTTCCCTCATAGATATTTGACAGAAGGTGGGGACAGTGTATGAAGAGACCATAGGGGAAGGTCACAGCATCATAGGATATTAAGAGTTGATAACTACCTCTCAGAACTTTTTAAACTGTGGGTCGCAAACCCCATAGGGGTGGTGAAAAATTGGCAACAGTAAAAGGTTTCCAAATGTGCAATGACCAAAAATTAATAAAAATCAAATGCCCTTGGGCCATGCAATGCCAACCAATACTGCCAAAAAAGTGAAAAGGGGTCTAAGTGGAATAATTTTAAGATGCCCTGAATTCCTAGTTCTTACCAGAATGAGAGTTCTCTTAACAAACCCCCTCTAGTGAGGGAAAACTTAAATTTATACCTCAGAAATCTTCAAAGGCTACAAATAGGGACTTGATTTAGTTTTTTTTTTTATTTGACTTAAGAAAGTGTGGAGAAAATATTAATAATGCAAATTTCAATGATTTTTTTTTGTTTGGGGGTGAAGAAGAGTCAGCTGTTAAACATTTACTGATGGGAATCTATTGCCTCCCAAAGCAGCCTCTTCCATTTTAGGTTTGCCATTAATTGTGAGGAAATTTTCCTTACATTAAGCTTAAATCTGCCTTTCTACAACCTCTATCCACTCTAGCTCTAGACCCAAACAGAAAAAATTGAATGCTTCTCCCAGATGATAATTCTTCCAATACATGGAGCCAATGTCTTGTCCTTCCCCTACTAAGCACTAAATCTTCTCTTCTCTAAACTAAACATCTTTATTTCCTTCGACCAATTGTCATATAGAATAATCTCAAGGCCATTCACCATTCTGGTCTTTCTCCTCTGGACACAACCAATAAGGAAACTAGGGAAGCTCCTTGAAAGTAGGGATTGTTTCATTTTTTGTATTTGTACAGCAGCTAGGGTAGTCCCTGGCATAAATAAATGCTTAATAAACAATAAAGCAATACACAAATATCAGATATGATGTGATGGGAGTAAAGAGGTGAAACAATACACAAATATAAAAGCAATATACAAATATCAGATGTGAAGAGAGTAAGGCAATCTCCTCTTATAAGTTTTGCTGCACCATATAAGTTCACAATCAATTAAAATCCATTCTAGCTGCACACTGATACAAACCAGAGAGATGCCACCAACTGAGAATCTATCATGTACATTTTCAAAAGACAGAAAAAAGAAATGGGTTTAAATTAGAGAAAGAAATTTATACTACAAGTAAAATCTTTCTAACAGCAAGTTTGTCAAAGGGATATAGCAGGAGGTTGTGGAGTATTCTGCCAAGAATTTCTTTAAGCATTTCATGGTGACAACCAAAAAGTATTTAATAAATGCCCACTTCCATATGGCTCCATGGTGAATACCAGCTGAGATGTCACAGATGGCATCTGCTGAAAACAGAAATTTACTTGTGGTTCCATCTAGCCTCATTTTCCTAATTCTCTGTTTTCACAGCTTATATAATATTAACAACAGTGGCACCTTGAAATGGCCACTGTTTCCTCCTTCCTAATTTATTGTTTCTGCAGAAGTATCCCACAAGTTAATTTAAAAGAACTTAATTTTCAGGTCCACTTTCTTTTCTAGCCCTTAGGCCTCCATACTCTACAGAAAAAAATATATGAAAACAACAGATAGGCTCTGGAAAAGAAAGGCTGGGAATATCAGAAGCATCAGAAATATGAAATATACTTAAAATCAAACCTGACCCATGGGAATATTATTGTGGCATAAAAAATGAAGGGGACAGTTTCAGAAAAACTTGGGAAGACTCATATGAACTGATAAAGTGCAGCAAGCAGAACCAGAAGAACAATGTATACAATAACAATAATGGAATGACCAACCATAACTCCAAAGTACTCATGACAAAACGTGCTACCCACCTCCTGAAAGAGAAGTAATGGATGCAAGATGCAGATTGACACACAAAATTTTCTGGAAATGGTCAATGAAGGAATTTGTTTTGCTTGGCTATGCATATTGTGCCACTAGGATTTTTTTTTTCACCAGGAGGAAGAGAAGGTAGATTTTCATTAATTTTTTTTAAATGAAATTGAGAGGCAGCTAGGTGGTGCAGTGGATAAAACACCACCCCTGGATTCAAGAGGACCTGAGTTCAAATCTAACCTCAGACATATAACACTTACTAGCTGTGTGACCCTGGGCAAGTCACTTAATCCCATTGCCCAACCCAAAAAATAAAATAAAATTGAATTGTAAGAAATAAAAACAAAAACAACCAAAAAAACACCTGACCCTTGCTTGGCATCCAAAATGCCAAAATGTCACCAAAATTTATGCCTATAAAGATTCATAAGCAGCTGTTTTATTTACTTACATGTTCATTTCCTGCACATTCTCTGCTGCAAAATAAAAAGTCTTGATCTGTGGGTGGCTGATCTTAAAAGCACTTGAAGGAAAAACAGCAAAGATACATGAAAAGTTAATGTAGAATAGAATTTGATGGATTCATAGCTATACCAGTAAAAATTATACTCCTTCCCCCTTTCTATTTCAAGTTTAAAAAATAATTCAGACAAATTAAATGCTGCCTATTCCATTCCCTGGCTCCCACAGAGAGGTGCAAGTCAATGCCTCCTGTCATCAAGAAAATAATGTCAGTTAATAGTTAAGACATTCTCTTTAAAATAATATTATACTGTTTGCAAACGGTCAAGAGTGTGCTGTTTGTCAGTGCTTAAGACAATGAAAAAGGTGCAGGGGAAGGAGTTTCATCTTAGGATAACTGACCCATATCTTTCAATCAAGATCCCTCCAACATATCCAGGAAATTTGGAAAGGTACCTGCAATTTCAGGGACCTAACTCCAAAGAGGTCTTTCAGAACATTACCTGATGGGAGGGTCCTGAGTTAACAGACTTGCCCAGTTACTCACATTTTGATATGATTCCTGGAGTTCCAATAATATAAAGAATTAAAAATACATGTATTCTAACCTGCTGTAATTAAAGTTCAAGGCAGCAAACAGGTATAAAATTCTCATATTTTCATTACTTAATAACAACCAATTCTATACATGCTAAATTCATGACAGACATAACACACTTCAACAAAAAGAAGGAATAAAACTGATATTCATCTCAGTTTGAAATAAAAGCTTGAAATACTGAAATTAATCAGCAAAAGTTTTTCTGTGGCTATTTTAAACTGGAAGTCCCAAGTCATATGGCCAGACCATCATTGCTAACCACCTAAAAGCCACCTACGTCAATGCAAAACTGCAACATCCTGCTGCACCAATGCCCCCCAAACCTAAAGGGGAGTTAGTACCTTCCACCCAGCTCATCCTCCTTGTTAAAAGTTTTAAGACCTGGGGTAGGCTTTTGAAACATTAAGCTAGGATAACTATTACCATGGATGAAAGCTGACTTTTGACTGGACTAGAGAACAGATTAATTGAAAGTGAAAGACAAAATGGGGGAAAGGGGGGCAGGGAAGGGAGAGAAAGGAAGAGGGATCATTAGAGAAGCAGTAGTGAGACATTGGGATAGAAAGGGAAGGGTATTGGGAGTCAGGAAATTTAGTTCCATCTCGCCCAGCCATGTAATCTTGTACATGCTACATAATCTTTCTAGACCTCATCAGCAAAATGAGGGGCTTGGACTGGATGACCTTAAGTCCCTTTACCAGCTCTGAAACTCTCATGATCCCATTTTACCTCCGTACGTGAAGAATCTGTACTCAAACACTTGTTTTCAGCAGAGAGCTAGCTGAGGATTAATGACCTGCCTTGGAAGATAAATCCATGCCACAAATAGTTTCATAAAGAGTTTAAATAAGAAAACTGCATTGTGGCCTTACTTGTCCTCATGCCTACAGTTATGTGGAGGGAGGTCTGCTGAATCTCCGTTACTAACTAGCACAGAACCTTGGCATCTGATCTCCTGAACTCTATAGGAGGATTTGCTTATGCAGTTCCCTTGCATCACAGAACACAGAGCTCCACTGTAGAATCCGGGGGGGGGGGGGGGAGCTGTTAAAAGGCTGGTCATTTATCTCAGAATGCCAGTATCCAACACAGATAAAGAGAAACTTTTCTATTCCTAGTCAACTTTTCCAGGCTCCAGGTCTGCTCCCTTTATTAACTTCTAAACCACCACACCTTTTTGAAGTCAGGATCCCACCTAGCCAAATGCACAATAAACACAAATTAGGTGAATGTTAACATGCATCATGCAGGAATTTGTGACGTATGATAACTCACTGCTTTTTCTTGCATTCAGCAGCTCTATCCACAGCAAAATCTGGCAAGTTGATGAAACCATCAGCTTTCTCTGCCTGAAAGAAGTACAAATCACAAGTCTGAATTAGATAGGACTATCCTCAAAGCATTTCATTATGATTAGACAAGCTGAATTTAGGAAGTGCGGTAAAGATAAGGAAACATGGCTACAATATGATTAAATCTTAATAAAGGCCAATATGTTATAATGGATAGAATGTTAGACATGGAGAAGATTTGAGTTCAAATGCTTCCTCTGACTAGCTGTGTGATCCTAGACAAGTCACTAAATCTCTCTCATCCTCAGTTTTCTCATCTGTAAGATGGGGGTAAAAAAATATATAGCTGGATTATCCAAGATCAAATGAGAAAATATATATAAAGTGCTTTGTAAACCCTAAAAACACCACACAAAAACAAATACAAGTTAGCATGTCCCTAGCTACTATATGATGGGATGTCTTCTCATCTACAAAAATTAGAACCTTCTAGTATCTTCTAGGTAGAGATACTTAGGAGCATGGAGGCATCAAGATATTAAAGGTTTTCCTCATGGAGTGTAGGTTAAGAAACCAAACACTATGCAGGTACACTGTGGGGTCAGTTTTAAATATTACAACACTTTGTCAATGGAAAATAGTATTCATCTTCTATAATAAGCTCCTAGGATTATAGATTTAGAACTAGAAGGGAAGTCAAAAGCCAGTTAGTCCAATTCTATCATTTTACATATGAAAAAATTAAGGAACAGGGAATGATTTGCCCACAGAGTCGCAGAAGTGTGAGGCAGGATCTCAACACAGGCGCTCTGACTCCAAAGTCAGCACTCATGCTGATATACCATGCTTCCTCCTGTTTTACTTTATAATTGTTTTTAACATCAAAATTAATATTTTAAGATTAAAATTTGAAGATTTAAGATACTTATTTTAAGATAAGTAAGATGTGGCCAGCCCAATCTGATCCAAGCGGAAGGACCTATGCCTGCTTTTGTCTCCTTGCTAAATATGACCTATATGCTGGTCCTTCCATATAGGATCTCAAATCTTTTTTTTAAAAATAAAATAAAATAAAACCCTAGTCCACTGGATGCAGCTATTGTGAATGGGGCGTTTTCCCCTTCCTGAATGATATTGAGGCTAATTTTCTTATTTGAACTCAAGGGTCTGCACACACACATCCCATCCCTTGGTTTCTAGAGCCTTGGATGAAACCAGATTGCTCTGGAAAGGTATGGCAGTAGATTACATGAAAGCCAGAGAAGACCCTTGTGATACATTCAACCCCACTTGTAGTGCCTTTGGGTAAGTCATGCTATTTCTCCGGGCCTCAGTTTGGTCATCTGTCAAACGAGAATCATCTCTGCCTTTCACACTTCACAAGATTATAGTAAAGATCAATTAAGATAATGGATGGGTGGGAACATAAACTGCACGGTGTGACAAATGACTGAATAATATTATTGTCACTAGTAGCAATATGGCCCACAAAGCATACCTTCAAATACAGCCAGCAGGGATAGGATAGTTAAAATTTGAGAGACAAGAAATCTCTGCCTGTCACTTCCTAAGTTCCAGACCCTGGCAGGCAATTGAATGTTCTTTCTGAGATGTCGTCAATGAAGGAAAGAATCGTCTTTCTAAATTTTGTATTTTCCCCAAATAGTAATTGTGCAGAGTACTGTGCACACAGCAGGAACTTGATAAATGCCCAATGGAATGAAATTAATGGAATTAAATGAATAGTAGTAAAGTCTCCTGTAGTAGATATCACCAGTGATTCTAAGACAAGTAATCACCTAACCCCATGGCAATTCAAAGCTGATAAAAATGATCTCTAACTGCTCTGGGCCTCGATGGTTTTCACTAAAATATGAACAATTGAAATACAGTCAAATTTTGATGGCGGGCTTGTCAAATTATAATAGAAAAACTAGAGTCACAAATATGCAAACTAACATTTATGAAATGAAACTATAAGAAGAATAAAATCAAAGAAAAGGAATTGAGAAAAATCTGTCAACCATTCAATGAAATAAAAAACTGAAACAATGAAGCATTTAATTTGTATTGAAATTAGAATTTAAAATAATGTTACTGTTAGGGACAGATTCAGATTTACTAAATATAGCCTATATATTGCAAATGAGGGGCAGCCTGGTAGAGCAGATACAGAGCCAGCCTTGGAGTCAGTAAAATCAAGTCCTATCTTTGATATATCCTGGTGTTAGCCTAGACAAGTCTTCCTTAACCTCTTAGTACACTAGGCAATGGGCAACTAGGTGGCGCAGTGGATAGAGTGCTGGGTCTAAAGTCAGGAAGACCAGAGCTCAAATCTGTCTTCAGGTAGGTGCTAGCTGGGTGACCCTGGACAAGTCACTTAATCCTGTTTGCCTCAGCTTCCTCATTTGTAAAGTGAGCTAGAGGAAGAATTGGCAAACCACTCCAGTATCTTTTGCTCAGAAAACCCCAAATGGGTTCATGAAGAGTCAGACATGGCTGAAATGACAAAGCAACTCTTTAAGGCTTTTTGAGCACAGTTGCAGATCTTTATTGGCAGAGAAGCTTTCCTCACTGGAGGTTACCTAAACCAATGAAATTAAAAAATAAATACATATCTGAAACCATACATACAATCATATACACATAGGAACAGATACTTATACATTATACATTAAGGCTATACTATATATATTGTAATACATATAATATGCATATGTAATACATAATACATGCAATATACTATATCCAGCAATATATTGCAAGTTTCTAGTATATGTATTGTTTTATATCTATGTAAAACCAGAGTCACCGACATGATGTGATGACATATTCATGATGAATCAAGTCTCTACCACATCTGTTGCAATACATGTTATATCTATGTGACATATATATGCATATATATATATGATATTTTATAACATATAATGCAAGTCTTCTCTACATGTATTGCTATAGATATAACTCAGGGTCACCTTCAAGCCATAATGAAACAAGTCACTACAATATGCATTTCAATTCTCCATCAAGGGTATTGTAAGTCTCCCAAGGTTCTGCTCTGGGATTTTATCATGGAAAGGAGGTGGCCTGGGTTCCTTTGTGCTTTGTCAGAAAATTATAAGCTCTGAAAGTCTCTACCAAGCTGAAAAAGTTTCTGCTGACTCAGCAACAAACTTGGTTATCAGATTACCAAGTCTTGATGATAAGTTCCTACAGGCCTATCATCAGAAGACTGACCTCCAAATGATTATTGTTGTTATTGTTTTAAATCACCGTAGCACATGAAGACTCCCTCTGAAGGTACAGAGAGGCTACAAATTATATTAGTAGAGACATTGCTGGAAATATTGAATTATATCTGCAAGAACCTTGAAAAAGTAGAGAACATGCTAGAACTAGGTACACTCAAGCAGTGGGAGGCTTTAACTGATGATGCCATTTATTACTGGACATAGACCCCAAGGAAATCAAAAAAGAAAGTCTTCTATATACCAAGATGGAAAGCTAGGTGGTGCAATGGATAGGTCTTGAGTCAGGAAGACCTGAGTTCAAATCTGGCCTCAGACATTTACTAGCTGTGTGACCCTGGGCAAGTAACTACTTCACCCTGTTTGCCTCAATTTCCTCGTCTATCAAAAGAGCTGGAAAAGGAAATGGCAAACCACTGTGGTATCTTTGCCAAAAAAACCCCAAATGAGTCCACGACGAGTCAGACATGACTGAAATGACTAACCAACAGCAAGATATACCAAGATATTTACAGCAGCACTTTATACCACATAAAAAATAATAACTGAAAAGAAACTGGCCGCCTGTAAGTTAGGCAATAGTTGAAGAAGTGAGTGGCATACTAAGCTAGAGCACAGGACTTAACATCAGGAAGACCTGAGTTCTAATTCTGCCTCAGACACTCATAATTGTGTTATACTGGGCAAGACCTTTAACCTCTGCCTGACTCAGTTTCCTCATCTGTAAATGGGGGGTGATAATAGCATCTACCTCCCAGAGGTGGTATTAGAATAAAATGATATTTTCAAAAGTGCTTTGCAAACCATAAAGGACTACATAAATGCTAGCCATTATTATTACAAGACAGAGTTCAATGAGGTGAGTGGTAGTTAAGGAGTATGGTGTAAACCCAGGAAACAATTTTTTTTTAATGAATTAATTTTTAAGTGCATTGTGAGGTATGAAGGAGGTGGGGAAAATTGTAGGAATGAGAGTAACACCAGCTCCACAGACCAGACAACCCTGAGAGAATTTCTCTTTATGTATCCAGTGACTCTTATGGTTAAAAAATAAGAACTGTATTCTTCCTTCAGTTAGTCAAACTAATAGAAAAACTCAGGACATTGATGACAGATTGTTTAAGAAAAAAATTTGGTGCTTGCAATGGGCATTTTCACTTAAATTTACTTTACTTCCTATCTAAAAATCTGAGAATTTACTTCAAAGTAACAATGCAATAACCACTTAAATCAGGAGGTGAGAGCTTTTTCCAGTTCCCTATCTCATTTCAGAACCTTTCCCAATTTTCCCCTGAAATCCATAGCATTCTAAGTGGCATAGATGGGCACTAGGCTTGCAGTCAAGAAGACCTGAGTTCAAATTTTGTCTTAGACTTTTGGGAGCTATGTGCTCAGACCTGGGCAAGTCTAACATCTCTCAGCCTGTTTCCTCATCTACAAAATGAGCGTTTCAGATTTGATGGTCTCTAAGATCTTTCCCAGCTTTAAAAATGGATATATAATATTTTCATGGCTTAAAATTATTTTCTCACATCAAACCTGTAAGTAGATAATGTAAGTATTATTATTCCCATTTTACATATGATGCAACTGAGGCTCTGAGAAGCTGGATGATTTGGCCATAGTATCATAGCCTAGTTCCAAGAAATATAGTAGGCATATTTGATTGACTGAATAAAAAGAAAAAAAAAATCCAGTGGCTGGTTAGTCAGTGTTGACTCCTGTTTCCCTGATCCCCAGACCATGTTATCTTTCCAACACTAGTACAAACAACCCAATCCTTTCTCACACCTTCTCAGAGCAGCA